TTTCGTAGAATGTAGAATAGGCCTATAATGTAGCGTAACAATAATGAAACTCAAATACGTAGAAGATGTTGACTTTAGAAACACTAGTGTTTCTAAAGTCAACTTCATGATGTGCGGACATGCAATTTTATTCAACTACAGTACTTTGTTTGAAAGAGTCGAGGCAACTCAATAGTTATTTACGAAGGTTAAAAATCAGAGTGGATACAACTACAATAATGTAAAAATCAATACAGATTGAATATTAGAGGATACAAAGTTAATTTTATAAAAAAGACAAAAGACTGAATACATCTGAAAGCAGCTCAGCTCAGTCAGCTAAACTGGTAGTATATACTGTGTGTGCGCTGAACCAAGGAGATCTCTTGGTCTATGATCTTATTGTATATCAGCTGGAGGACTGAAATGCAAGTTAGGATTGCGCACTCTCAGATGAGACGTTTACAGTAAGCCAATGTGCATAATGGTCCATATGCACGTTGTAGTAGGGAATTACCACCTGGTGTATGCCTACTGCCCAATCACCACCAGAAAGACCCCACTGGAAATAAGTTTTCTTCAGACTTTTGTGGGCTATCCTTGGTGGTTACACCAAATATAATCATCTCTCCATTCACTACCATTGACAATTCACATTTAATGTAGTTTTTAATCAAACCTTTCAAATAACTTATGAATTAAATTCTCCTTGGCTTAGGAGTGGACTTTATACAAGAATTTAGTGAATAGAATGCATACCACTGTTGTTTAATATGTGACATATTCCTAATTTTAAAGGAATAAGATGGCTGAGCCTTCTACATACTCTTTTCTTGGCCGAGGGAGAGGTGGTCGAGGAAGAGGACATCCTAGGGATCATAGCAGTACAAAGTATTCACAAGATTGGAGAAACTATAACGAAGGTATTATACTATCATTATAAATAATTATGATGATTAAAATCATTATTTCTTCAAAATGAAGATTCAAAAAGACTTATATATATTAAGCCTTGGAGTTTTTTTATTCATTCATTTTTAATTATTTTGTTTTAATAATTTAATTATTTATTATTGATTAAATTAATATATTTAGGCATAATTTATAAGAATTTTCATCATATAACATCATCATCATCATCATCATAATCTTCACCATCATTACCGTCATCATCAACATTGATCATTATTTTTATCTTCATGATCATCACCATTATTTTCATTTTCATCATCATCATCAACTTCACCATCATTAATATCATCATTGTCATCGATCATCATTTTGATTTTCATCATCATCATTATCATTGTCATCATTTCTTCTTCACTATCTTTACAAATCACCATTTATTTCATCACCATTTATCATCATTTTGGTCATCATTATCATAGTTGATCAAAATTAATCATTGCTGATAGTTACTGCAGGCTAGATGCCGCCTCTGGCTCTTGACTCCTCACAAACCTTTTTAGAAGCTATACTTCATGCCTTCATTATTTCTAAAAAATTATCTAAAATGTGCTTTTTAGCTCAAAGGAATGGAGGTGGAGCAACTTTGGGTGCCCGGAGCAAGAATATTGAGACTGAGAAACAACATGAACACCAACCTGCTCAGCAGTTACAGGAACATCAGGTACTTGAAGATGAATACGAAACATCATCCGATGAAGATGAAGCCAGCAACTATCAAGATATACTAAAAGCTACTTACAAAGATTATAGCATGCATCTAGGTATTGTCATTTTTGTCTGTATAAAATAAGATAAGATAAAAATTGTATTCATCCCCTTTGGGAAGTTCTTTGCTTGCATTAACAGACATTACAATATAGAAATACAATATAATACAGCTTATAGTCAATTTCTAGTTCGATAATAAAAGTATAGTATGTCTTGATCCAGTTGTATATGTATATTAAAGATATGAAAATTTAAGTCTGATATAAACTTGACTATGATTTGCTTATTTCAAAATTAATTGTTAATTATTAACGTTGAACTAAGAATTAATTGTTTAATTATCCAATTAACAGACATTTATATACTACTTATATAAAATTTGTAATAAAATTCATTTAAACTTAGTTTTTAAGTCAAACATGTAGGTAAGAATATTAATGTTTTAAAGTTCTTTCTTGTTTATCTTTATTTCAAAAAATTGATTTTTTTTTTTTTTTTTTTTTTTTCTCAATGCACTTTTTCTAGGCGATTCCAATAGCAATGAAGCAATTTCCCTACAACACCAGTTTCAGAGTGAAAAGACAGTTTGCCTAATTTGTATCGAAACTGTTAAACGAGAAGAGGAGGTAAGGAATAAAAGTGTTTAAAACCGCACACAAAAACCAAACTAGCTTAAAAGCTAGTATAACTTAAACCCTAAATGGTCTATAGTATAAGTATCGTGAGTGGATTTCCCGTACGATTAAAAATTGTAACGGTACTGGGTTTGGTCTACAGGAGTTCGTGCTTCGAACAGGTCATTCCATTCATAGAAGAAGCTTTTTGATGAACAAAGTGTACCTATTAGCAAAGGTTTGCCCAGGTCTTTCTCAATGTATTTAATTGTGTTTTGGTGCATGTGGTAATACCGTGGACAGCTGACGTCAGGGATACAATTTATAATACAGTGTAATAAAAACATGCAAGCATCGTAAATTTTCTTGAGATGCTTAGTTCCGCAAAATGTTTGCTTGCTTTACAGGAGTGTGGGAGTTTGTGCTAATTTCCATGACACTCCTGTGGGGTACTTCGGACCCCTTCACCATAATTATTATCATTAGTATTAATTTAAATACTATACAACTTCACAGATTTGGTATTGTCAGACATGTTACTGCATCCTGCACCTTCAATGTATTCAGAAGTGGGCTCAAGAGGGCTCTGTTCAAAAAAACTTTCTTTCGGAAGAGAACTTTCCGGAAGCAGAGAAACTTTGGCATTGGTAAGTAGTAACAGGTTGGGTTGTTAACATGTAAATTTCTTTCCTGAGTCGATAGATAATCAAAAACATAGTTGATTCAGAAACGAGTGGACTTGAATAGCTTCCAATCTCAGGGTGCTGTGACAGCAGGCCCGGGATTTATCAGTCTCAGCTTAGCAAATGTCTTAAGTCAAAAAAAGTTAGGATGTCCCTAAGCAAATATCTTAAGCTAATTTATCAAACCATCTTATCAAAATCTTAGCTTAAAAATCGTCTTAGATGGTTCATGCATAAAATCAACTTTTTAATTTTAAGCAATTTTTAAGTTAAATCAATATTGATAAATTTGACTTAAGCAAAAAAATGGACTTAAGATGAATTTATTTTGATTTATAGTTTGATAAATCTGACCCCAGGTTTGTAAAAGCATCTTTCCAACCTGTAAGTGGTGAGTGTGCTTGCTGTTAGATGTGAGGGATATAAAAAAAAAAAAAAAAAGCTCACCATTTGGTGGATTCTGGTAACTATTCCTTATCCTACAGTTGTCTATTTAATCTTGATCTAACCTAATTTTGTTGAAAATTAATCAAATGTTTCATTGAATTATAATTTTAAGAGATTAATGTTACACCAATTCAAGAAGTTGCCAAAGGCATCAAGTGCACAATAATCCAGATTTAAAAACTTCAGTAATGCAAAGAAAAAACATCTGAAATGCAAAAACACATCTAATTCAGACTGTTCCATTATTCTTGATTCTGCACACAATACTTACAAGTTTCCATCTAATTAAAGACCCGCCAATTAAAGGCCACTTGCAATTAATGACCAATTTTCTGTGGTCCCAAGCTAACAAATTTCTTTAATCTTTATTATTCTAATTAGAGACCAAATCTGCTAAAGACCATGGCAACCCAGGTCCCAAAGGTGGTCTTTAACTGGAGGGACACCTGTATTAATTCAAAAATAAAGAAGCCCTTTATATTGATTGGGAAATCTTTCACTTAACAAACAACTCATTTACAATATCACTCTTCCATTTTAATTTTTTACCACGGTATTCACCTTTATATACGTAACTTACTTTTGCCTGAATATCATACATTTGCCCGGTAGTATCTAAATGAGTAGTAGCATAAACACTATATACCGATGCTGACGTGTGGCACGTCAGAACATGTCGTTAATTATTAACGTATGAGAGAACAGCTTGTCTCAGTAGGCTAAAATAGTGGTAGCCACTGTAAGTGCACTGAACCGTGGAGATCTCTTAGCCTTCGATTCAATCCCCATAGCTGCTCTCTTTGTATTTCAGCTAGAGGGCTGAATTGCAAGTTACGATAGCGCACCGTCTTTCAGATGAGACGTCCACCAGAAGGAGACCCACTGGGATCACAATTTTGTAAATTATCCTTGGTGTTTACACCGAATATATTCATCTAATCTTCATCCATCATATATTTGTATATTTGTTTTACTGTGGATTACTGTATAAGTTTTTGAACTAATACTAAACAATTTGATTGAGTATTAATAACTTTATTTTTTTCACAGTCCTAACTGTCGATTTGAGTATAAGAAGTCTGAATGCCCTTCAAGGTATGTATGTCACTGCGGCAAGGAGGTTGATCCAAAGCCTGATCCCTGGCTGACTCCTCACACCTGTGGACAGACCTGTGGCAAGCCTCTGAAACCACTCTGCAACCACCAGTGTCTGTTGCTCTGCCATCCAGGTAATTCCCTTTTTGTTATCATTCTCTAGTGCACATTTCATTCCACTGTGTCTAGTATAAATATAAACATCCAGAATTGTCTCTCCTTTCATTGGCTTTATGATTGTTGACTCATTTAATTTGAAGTGTTTGCAGAGTCTTTTGTATCATACTTTTCTAGTCTAACTAACTAAAAAAAGTTAATGATCTGATTGTCAAATGAAGATTAAATCTCTTTGTTAAAATATGTTAAAATAACAGTTTCAAATATACAAACATAAACTTTATCCAACAATTAGTAAACAATAATTAACAGGGATCGAGTTTAGGGAATCATCCATTTTTTATTTCATATTCAAAAGAGTACAAAATATACCCTTTACCTTATCCTTAAAGAATACATTCAGGCCTTGAATTTGGGTTTTTTAGGGGCTAGGCCACTTTTTCCATGAATTAACAGCACAATATATATAAAAAGGGCATCAAGGTCAGTGTCAGGGCCAGATTAATTTAGGGGCTTTTGGAGCACCAGCCCCAATCCTACAGGTCCCAGTGGGGATAAATAGACCGTCAAACCCCAGGAAAACTCACCGAAAACCTGGCTTTATGTTTTAGCCACAGAGTATTAAATCCCACTTGCAATTACAGCCCAATGGACCACAGCCCTTTGATCCAGCCCTGGCCAGTGTATCACAAAATAACACTTAATGTACCTGTATATACTGCATTTTTAGGGCACCAAGGCCTCAACAGAGGTAATTTTTCTAGAGCAGGCAAGCCAATTGGGAGGGCACAGGAAGCACAGGTCTTGGTACATTAAAGAATGATGATTGCTTTCATATTGAGGACATCATTTTGTTAATTTTCAGAAAGAGGATACACACTGGTTACCCTTTCCCTATACTATATATTTTGTACTCTTAATACGAAAATGATTGAAAAAATAGATGTTTTCCTGCCCTTAACATATATCAATAATGAATTTTTGGTTTTTTTTCTTGTTCAGGTGCCTGCCCTCCATGTCCAAAAACCATCTGTACGTCGTGCTTCTGTGGCCGAGAAGCACCGACCCTGAAACGTTGCTCTGCAAGTCAGTGGTCCTGTCAGAAGCCCTGTGCTGCTAAGCTGGAATGCGGCCACAAATGCGATACACCTTGTCATGCAGGTTGGTATTTATTATAGCAATGGAATTTTATTTTTACTGTTAAGCGCATTGAGGCTTTAGCATAATGCGCTATATAAGCCAAAATTATTATTATTATTATTGTTTTATCCAGCAGCCGTCAAAGCAATTAATAACACATGAGTAGTTTAAGATTTTTATTTAGATACAATACTCGGATATATTTTATATTTACTTGGTTTTTTTTTATTAATGATTACTATTATTATGTGCTGAACACTTAGCCAAATCAATTTCATTGTATTTTATTTATACTTTGACAGTAAAGTTTCTGAACTGAACTGAAAAGAAACAAGATCTTTTTATACTGTGTTTATTAAATTAATGGCCTGTCAATGACTTAAATAGATTTATAAATTTATCGCTCGCCTTCTATGGGCATGATGTTGTCAGTACACCCAAATATGGGTGTATCACTTATTTGTCACAAAATTTTATAGTGTGGCCAGAGTTTAAGGGTTCTCTCTGTTGCTTTTTTTACCTTGCACACTCGTAATATTATTCAATAAAATTGTCTTAATAGACGTAAGTACTGTATGGTTTTGTTTTATGGAGAAGTAAATTGTTTTAGCCTGAATATTCTTGAAAATATTTTTTTTTTAAATATGATCTGGATGTTTTATTGTGTAAGTTCTTCTGTAATAATTTCAGTATTGAACAAAAATTTTTTTGAATGTGCATTTATAGTATAAAATTGTATTTATTTGCTGTGTATACGCTGTCTTTTATTTTGAATTGTATATATTGTTTTAAAGAGATCTCTACATGTTTATTTTCTTCCAAAACTTGGTGGACCACCTGTCCCATAAAAGATTGTGATGTATTATCTTGCAATATGTTGATTTTTTGTCAGGCATTCATTTACTATTACTTTTAGCATTCTTATTAATATAGTTGAACTTGCATTAAAGTCGATTCCAAAATGGCATTGAAAAATGGTTTGACTTGGATAAAATTCGACTTACAGATGATTAATTAAGTGAAAATACGACAATTTGGCCTGTAAAATAAGATCAACTTAGAAATTATTCGAGTTCAAAGTCGACTTAGGAAAGTTTAACTGTATATCCACCGCTGGTATTCCAGGAGATTGCCCACCCTGTCCAAAGATGAGTCAGCGTTCATGCCTTTGTGGTAGGTTAGCTACACTGAGGTCATGCGAGTCCCTGGTGTGGCAGTGCAACTGTGTTTGCGGGAAAGTGCTCTCCTGTGGAAACCACACGTGTGAGGAGGTATGCCACGAGGGAAAGTGCAAAGGTTGCCCAAGAGCCGAAAATAGGTCATGCCCATGTGGAAAAACAAGTAAGATTTCTTATGTATTTTGTCTATGCATTCTTTATTCATCCACATTTACAGTAATAATGAAATAAGAAAAAAGATGAAATAAATTAGACAAACAACAAATTTTACAATATTACTTAAAAGGGATCTAGAAAGATGTTTTTTTTTTCTTTTTTTCTAGAGGGGATTTTTAATATGTCACTAGTAATAGAATCAACTTTAAATCGTTCTTTTTTTTTTTTGGAAAAGTCAATTTGAAATAGGAACACATCAGCAGACAAAGTTTGATCAAACATTGTTTTATCTGACAGACTATCGTATCTAAGGAACTGACAAAGTTGCATGATTATTCAAATCTATTATATCTTTTTTGAAGAATATCAACTACCCTGCACTGAAGATGTGCCCACCTGTGGTGACACCTGCAACAAGCTTCTGGAATGTGGTCTTCATCAGTGCACTAACAGATGTCATACTGGACCATGTGAAAATGTAAGTAATTAGGGAGCTTCCGATTTGCATGTCGATGCGACAGTAGAACGAAATCACTCATGCATGACCGTACTACCGGGCGTCCTATGTTCTCTGCATACATAGATTTGGCCAATTTGCGTCCTAGAATCCATGCAACGAGGAGAACTTAATGTTCTCGCATACGCAGAAGACTTTTAGTGAATGTCATTACGCTCTGCATCTTACCATCGTCATCCAATCGAAAGCTTCCTATTAATAGAGTGATAAATACTATAAGGCGAGAAGAAGAAGAACAGCTGCTTAGGTCCATTGGCTACAATGGTGGTAGCTACTGTGTGCGCTGAACCATGGAGACCCATTCAGATCTTTGGATACTAGTTGAATTCCATCCTCTCTAAGTGAGTTTCGGCTGGAGAGCTGAAATAATTTACGAAAGCTCTCAATTTTTCAGATGGTACATTAAGCTGTTGGTCATTCGTTAAATGTGGACCAGGTGTGTGTAGGGCCTCACTCTTTGGAAAATAGGGTATAGTCTCCCATTGTTCTATTCACCGCAGATATACAGATACATATTTCTTTATTATCCAAAATAAACTGGAAATCACCACCAGAAGGACCCCACTAAAAAAAAAGTCTTTGGAATCGTCTTTGGTGTGATTCACACCAAAATACTCTACTTTCTACTCTTAATAAAATATTTGATTATAATAATTGGAATAAATATTTTTATGATAAAAATAGTAACTATATTATCAATGTAATAGTATTATGTAATTATTATGTTGAAGTCAATCTGTATATTAGTACCAAACAAATATTCCCAATACACCAAACTACACACAGATGATGGTGAAACTGTAGTTCTAATTAAATAATATTTTTGAAGTAAACAATTATTATTAAATGTTCAGTACATAATTTAAAAATGTTTTTAAACATGTTTTGCCAGAAAAATATCATTATTGATAATAATAATATTAATAATAATAATAATAATAATAATAATAATAATAATAATAATAATAATAATATCTGATTAAAAGCATTTTTTTTTTTTTTTTTTTAGTCCTTTCATACTGTAGTTACAGCTAAGTTCAACGCACAATTACCATGAATTACATAAACAATCTTTGCCCTCAACCTATAAAATTTACTCAAGGTATATAAAACTAAAAATCCACTGGCCTTGACAGGGTGAGGTTCTATTAGTGCAATCGATTAAAACTGTCTGGTACTGTCACCAGTACCATTCTAGTCCTAGTGCAAGTCTTAGTTTTGTTAACTTGTTTTTGATTTGATTTGATTTCATTTTTTGCATTATAATTTTAACATCAGTCCTCATTATATCAATGAGTAAAATTCTTTATGTTCTGCTTCATAAACACACATAGTAAGTCTAGATATTGTTTATTATTTTTTGGTAGATTTTTCTTTTTCTTTGAAGCTCAGAGAATATGTGAGGTCTCTCCACAAAATGAGTTTCATGGATAGAAATTCAAACATTGAGTTTATATTATATTTTGGGTTATCACATTATAAGCTTTAATTTGATTTTTGAATGGCTTCCCTAGGATAAATAGATCCAGAGATGTGAGCATTTAAAATTTAGGTGTATGAGAATCCAGGTTTTGAAAAAATCAGCCTCAAAGATAAATTAACCAGTACAAATAATAGAACTAGAATTATAGAATATGTGCAGAGAACACTGTTTTATTAAGAAGATTCTCTTAAAAGTATACAAACATGAAATATAGGTATCGAGTTATTCAAAAACATTGAAATCAAAATTTTGTAAAAATGTTGACTTTGACCTATTTAGGCGAATATCTCAATACAATTTCACCAACGATGCGTCTCATTTCGTGGTGAGACCTCACATATAGAATGTGCATATTCATGCAAAAATATAAAGTTTTGATTTGCTGGTTTTTTATAAATTAATGTTTCATGACTACAGGACTATGTTATCCATGTCGTGAATTGTCTAAAATTCAATGCAACTGTGGCAAAACTGTCCAGAAGGTTCGTTGTGGCATGGAGCGCGTCACAAAACCACCACGCTGCAAGCAGTCTTGCAGGTAAGTGCGTCAACATGCTAATAGATCATATGACCGTAAATGATGTCTTTACTTTCCTATTCAGAAGGTTGCTCCAGGTATGACACATGGTAGTCACTGTGAAGGTGTTCAGTGTAATTAAAAGTGATGACATCGCCATTGACTTATAATTATTATTTTTGCTATTACTGCTACTACATATCATTGTTTATAATAATATATTTATATGGTATCTATAAAAATATGCAATTATGATTCAACTAGCTTCAGTACATAGATCTAAAACTGCATTTGCTCTACCACTAAATTCAAACAGTGTAAAACAATAAAAATCATAATTTTACTGACAATTCTAGAAATACTATTTGGTGATAAGCAAAAAGGTGTGACTGCCCAAGCAGGATAAGAAATACTTACACAATCTTGAATAATTAATAAGTACAAAAAAACACACAATACTAACTAAAGAACAGGATACCTTATCTTCTTAAAATGTTAAAACTTCTATTACTTTGTAGCTGTTTTATTATTTTTATTGTTGTTATTATTAATTTATGAATTTAGCACTCCGCCATCCTGTCATCATATCAGACGTGAGCCCCATCATTGTCACTTTGGACAATGTCCACCATGTAGACAGCTATGTGACAAGCCACTGTCAGGGTGCAGTCACCGTTGTCCTAAGGGTTGTCACGATGATGTCACTGTCAAGCATGTTGAGCAAAAGGTGAGGCAGTATTCTATATGAATTCATTAAAACCTTTGTAGCTAAGATGCTTCCTTTTTATTTATTCTTAACTTTTAGGCACAAAGTACAGTGATATGCCAATCAGCAGATGTAATCTTTTTTCTAAGTTTCATTCCCTTTACAAGACAAATATACACACAAGATGTTCTACGTAAACTAATTCTTATACAGTATATGTTGCAATCCCTTCACAAGACTTACACAAGATCTACCTCATTACAAATCTTAGCGAGTGGATTCATTTTGGTGAGAAAGAGGTTCTGTTACCATGACAGGAATTGAATCCAGGATTTGAAGGCCAGCATCATAACCACCAAGTTATTTAACTCCGACCACTCCATTGTAATCCCAAAGAGGTGAATGATTTTAAATACCTTGGGTCATACGTTGCTGACAGTAGGAAGGCTGTTATATCTCGTAAGGCACAATCTTGGATCGCCTGCAACAAACTGCACTCCATCTGGCAGTCGAACATTACAAGGAAAATTAGGCTTGCTTTCTTCAGAGCATTCATAGAGGCCATTCAAACATCAAACCATAAACATCAAACCAAAGCAGAGATCTACCATGGCATCTTCCAATCTCAACCATCCTTGCTCAATATCGAGCAAGATTTGCTGGACACTATCGCGCAAAGGCTCAATTCATCAACTAATGACCTTCCAATTCTAATGGCCAATAAGGATTTCTGGCGACGCATTGTAAACTCTTTCCTCGGATGAGTTTGCGGGACTGACTGACTAATCCCAAGGCCTGGGTTCAACTCCTGTGACGACAGGGCCTTTTTCTCATGACTAAACACAACTGAACTCTCTAAGCCTCAGAAAGGAAATTAAGGTGCATTTACACCAAATCCAAATTTTCGGATCGGAAAGCCTACCTAACCCATCAAAAAAATTGTATCAGTGCTTAAGAATAGGGACGCTGGCAAATGTTATCCGAATTTCAGTTCAAATCTGATAAGAATGCAGCTTAAATTTATAAAACATCCCTACCAAAAAGGTACTTTCTGAAACCTGCAATTTTCTGATTACATGACAATTTGTACAATAGACTTCTTCAAGAAACTTTGACATAATAATATTATTATTATTATTATTATTATTATTATTATTATTATTATTATTATTATTATTATTATTATTATTATAATATTATTAGTGCATGTCGCACCTAAACTTTAAAATCAAATACAAATACCTGTACGAGTCTATTTATTAGTTTGCACTCTTGATGTCATTTTTTTTTTTTTTCTGATGTCTTACAAGCAAAAAGAAATTAAATTTGAAAAATATAATTGAATGTTACCAAATCATGCTGTTTATTTTATGTTGTAGCCACGACCTGCCGGGCCTTGGGAGAAGCAACCAGAAGTCCAGTACAGGCAGGTGGCCTTACCCTGTCCACCGTGTCTACAGCCAGTACCAGTAGATTGTTTTGGCAAACATGAGGTAGGCAATTCCTTCGTATAATAAATGTTTCACCATGCTTTCTCAGATATCGAACACCATACAGGCATAGCTGTAGGCATACAAATCATCTGGAGAAAAATTGTTTCTTGTCATAGACCTAATAAAAGCAGCCTGTTAAATGTTAACAATACACTTGCACACATTTTTCTAACATAAACAATCTTTTAATTATGTTAATACATAGCTCTTACTAGAATATACTATTAACTACAGGTAAACAAGATATTTGCTATTAGACTGTAAACGGGTTTGTGAACTCTGACCTGTATAGGTGTTTTTTTCTTTGACAGGATATGTGCTATATATGACAAAGTTTGGCCAGAATTGGTGGTTGATTTTGTTAAGGATGAGGGCATGATTTCTTAGCTTGGTATAGAGGGCATATGATTGCGCTTTCTTTGTCTTCCTTTTTGTAGACAGTTTCTTATGACATTTCTTGCTGATATATTTTCTATATTTTTTATTAGACTCATCCTCTACCATGTTCACAAGCAAGAAGCTTTTCTTGCCAGAGGACGTGTGGTAGGCTACTACTGTGCGGTAATCACCGTTGTCAGCTAGAATGTCATGTGGTCACAGGAGCGACGAGTGATGAAATGGTAAAAGAACTAAGATAATTATATCACAAACAAGTTATAAAGCTAAATAATTGACAATCCCAAAGCACTCACTAAAACAGGTTTTCTGATTTTTTCAAGTCAAAAATCGAAAAATATTGCAACACACTTTTATCCAGCTCTCCTCAAACTTTAATATCTGCGTTCGAGTCTTGAACAAGTGACTTTTCTCATTTTGTTGCTGTCTCAGAAGAGGAAGTTCTTGAGGTTATTAAGTCATCTTCAATTACCTCATGTTCACTTGACACACTCCCATTAAAATTGTTCAAGGCTTGCCTTCCTGTTCTCAAACCAATTATAACTGAAGTTGTCAACACTTCTTTGAGTTCACATTTATTTCCATCTTCCCTTAAGCATGCCTGCATTACACCCTTGTTAAAAAACCATCATTGAATGCTGAAGAAAGAAGCAGGGTTTAAATAATATACAGTGTTAAAATGAATAAATAACATGTTGAATCCACAAGCATTTCTTTATAAATGTTTATTTACGATGACGTAGGACCTATGAAAGGTCTACCGACCTATGGGTATACTGTACGTGAAATAGGTATTAACATGGAAACGGGCATGGAAAGCGGCACGCCAGTAGAAGTGCCGCTCTTGAATATGCGCCGCACTGAAGCATCCAATAATTTTATAAATGCCACAGCACTTGTACTAGCATTTACGGTAGTACATCCTTATGGTTGTAGTTATATGTTCATTTTAGAGTGTTCTTTTACATATTATCACCTTATGATGTCAAGCAATATGAAAATTAATATATTTGTTATTATTTTATTAATTATTCTATCAATTATTTCTATTATTATTATTATTATTATTATTATTAACGTTGATGTTAATGTTTTTGCCATTGTTATTATTAATGATTAATGGTGTTATATAGAAAACAAATTATTTTATTAATTTTTTTGCAATCCAGTGTAAACCATAAAATGAATAACAAAAGTAAAATTGTAACTATATAAGTTTTTCTATAATCCTGTTCAACCTTTAGAGGGTCATACTAACATAAGTTCCTAAACAAAAAAATTAAAATAAAAAACTAGAAATTATTTAAATGAAAATGTATGACAATGTTCTTTTGAAGAATGTGCTGCTTCCATTGTGTATGTTTTTAAAATTTTAGTTTTTTGTGATTTTGTGTAAATTCATTTTACTTATTATTGTTTTTTTTTGTATACCACATCTAATTTTAAGGTATAGCTTAATTTCCTGTAAATTTTGGTTAAAGTTAATAACTTATCAATACACATCTTGGACTAAATTTCAGGCTGGATCAGAGTGTATGCCTTGTGAAGAGAAATGCAGCAAGCCACGTCCACAAGACTGCCCTCACAAGTGTCAGCTGCCTTGTCACTCAACACAGTGTCCAACTTGCGAGAAGAGTAACAAGATGCGTTGTCACTGTCGTAACATGTTACTCTATGTTAAATGCAGGTATGAACTTGGGTTTTCTGTGGCTTAGCTTAGCTTTCATTCAGAAGGCTGAAGAAGTAGTTTGGTGCAGTAGGAACGGTTTGGTTTCCCAACCTCGAGGTCGGGGTTTTAATTCCTCACTAAGCTTTTCACTTGTGTCCTTGGGCAAGGCACTTTATCTGCATTGCTTCTCTCCACCCAGGAGAGGGTTAAATGCCAAAATGCACTGATGTAGCTGCTGTAACATTATGGAATATTCCCCCAGGGAGCTTGAGTTTGTGTTCCATAGACGTTTAATCCAATGACCGGGGGTAATAATGTGAAACTCTTAGAAGCCTTGTTGGCGTTAAAACGCTATAATGCAAGTTTAAAATATTCTTATCATATTATCATTATTATTGTTATCAAGCTCCTTTTGCATGTGTATTACATTGTTGTGCTTTGTTTTGTGAATAATGTTGTTTCTTTCAGCTTATCTTTGTTAGTTTGTCACAGTTCAGTTCAATACTGCAATATAAAATTTTGTTGTTTTTATTATATATCAGAATGAAATTATTGGTTTAATATAGGGAGAAATATTCAGCATTAAAAACAGGATCTCAACCAAAGCCTGATGTAGAGATTTGGTTGAAGAGCTTCAATTTTGTCAAAGTTAAAAGCGCGAGACTCCAGCGAAATGCGTTAGACTAGCCAGGTCTTTGTTACTGAAATGCATTATATTAACTTGAGAAGTCTGCTAAAGCATCCAAAAAACTATATACCCCAACAGTGGCTGTCTGGGGAAAGCAACAAAAAAAATGTTTTTCTCTTTTTTTTTTCTGAAAATGTCTGTGAATGCCTTTGACATGGCTGTAAAGCATGAATCATCATTACCTCACATATTTTTTCTCATTATCACATTGTTTCTCTTGCTCATATTTTTGTTAGTGAATGGACAAAGGCATCTGCGTCAGAAAGAGATGAAAAGCAGTCCTGTAAAGGCCCATGCCCGCAGATGATGAGCTGTGATCACCTCTGTAGTAAGCAGTGCCATTCAGGGGACTGTGCACTCCCATCAGAATGTACCGGCAAGAAGGCCATCAAGTGTCCATGCAAGAGACGCAAAAAGGTAATAACACATATTTTGGAGAGAATAGAGTTCATTTGCTGTGTATATCTTGGGCAACACCTTCCTGCTTTCAAAAATTAAACTCAAAAAGTCGAATGGCGAGTTCAATTCCAAGCGGTTAAGACAAGGGTGCTACAACCGACAGCCATAATACCAGCACTAGTTCGAATGGCACGCTCGCCTATGGTTCTGGAAGTTTCATAATGATGGATAGTCGTAATATTCATAATGATAGCAAAAAATATGTACAGTATCCATATTAGTAAAAAACTTAAGGGCTAGAAATATAAAACAAGCATGGTGGCACTTTAAAAAAAGGTTATATTTAGCATATTGACAAATCCTAGCTTTAAATTGCACTCTGTGTCAGGTTCATCAAGTACAGTTGGAAAAATGTTAAAATTGTGGAAAATAAATTAATAAAAGTTCTCACAAAATATGCTAAAAATTGATTTACTCAATGTTTTGACTGTCAAAAAGTCCCTATCTTTGACATAATGACCGGCTGTTAGACTGCCAGTAAATTATATCTGTGCCCCTATTCTTGTTGAGATTCAAGTTGTAGCGTATGTAAATTGTAAAGGTTGACCATAAGCATACTTGCCTTTTATGTATATAATAATAAAAAATAGTTTATACATGCTAAACATATTTATCTTCATTTTTTTCTACAAAATGTTGTTTTATGATTTGACAATTCCAGCATATTTTTTTCCAGAATTTCCCCTGTCCGCTTGTGCAATCAAATGAAGCCAAATTAGAGTGTGATGATAACTGCAAGCAATTGATAGAAAAACAGAAGAAATTGAAAGAAGAGGAAGAATTAAGGAATGAACTAGAGCTGAAAAAACAACAGATGGTAATTAATATTTATTATATAATTTGCATTCCAATATAGATATAGTTTCCTTAATAGCATGAACGTCAACGACAATGGTTGTAATTGCAGTATTAGCAATACCATAAATGCTCGAAAAAAAATTTTGAAGCGTCGCGGCGCTTATTCAAGCATTTACGGTAATATTATAAATAGCAATACCAATATCTTCAATATTATTATTGATATCGATCAATCATGAAATTTATATAGCGCCAAATTCCATCAAAAATGTTCAAAAGGCACTCAAACAGCAAACTCTATACAATACAGTATCATCTCCCAATTACAAACCTCCCATATACAACTCTCAATTTTACAAACAAGATGGTTAGTGGGTATGATGCCATTCTGAACATTCACAAATCTTTATTTAATTCCAGCGAGATGAAGAGGAATTTAAACGAGTGATGAATAAAGGCAAGAAGCATAGACGAAGGAAGAACGAGGAAATTGAATATAAACCGTGGTGGAGGAGTCAATATGTTACAATCGGAGCTGTCCTCCTCTTGGCCTTGATTTTCGGTTTTTATCTCATGAATATGTAAATTTAATTGTAAAGTGATGGTTGTGGCAGTTCACTCCATAGCACACAATGTAATACTTGAATGCTATATTTTTATAGCACATATTGCAATAAAGTGCCTATGTGTGCTTTACATTGTTGCACACCCCTACTTCTCCGTTAGTGGTGGCCCATGTTTTAGTCAGTCGCGGAGACTGATGTACCTTTTTCGTGTGTTTGCCTTTTTTCGAATATATTATAATTATAATTGAGATAATTAACACTGATTATATACATTACAGTATTATACTGCATCCATTTAAATATTCACCTGAATGCTCAAAAATACTAATAAATTGTTAAAGTTATCAGTAAAGAATAAAACAACAATACAGCGCAGAATCGCATGGCCGGACGCACTCCTAGTGAAAAAGTTTTCCTCCATTAGTGGAAAAGGAAGGGCGCCTTTTGCGTCTGGATATACTTAGGAACAGAAGGGCGCCCTGTACGTTGGGCACGAAGTATAGGAAACTTGCATGGTTAAAAAGAAGTGCGCCGCCTACGTTGGGCACGACTTCCGCCTCATTTTTACAATGCGAGAGCTCTATCTTGTATTTCTAGTATCTTCGATACACAGTCACTGCCACAAGTGAACCAGCTATTAGCAGCTGAATTGAATTTGCAATGCTAGTATCCAAACTACAAACTACTTTAGAATAGAAGAGTATTCAATATCATAGTTATTCCGAAGATCAAGGTGTCTATTATTCAAGAAGGTACTCAATAATTTTAACCTTTTTAAATTATACAGTATATTATATTATGCGTTATGACTTTATGATCTCAATCAATATAATGAACAGTAATCAAATATATTTTCGTTATGGGTTGAATAAGAATTGTTCTGTGATTTAACAGTTAAAAACTGTGGCATAGCTATACAAATCTGTATATTTTAGTTGATGATGTATTTAGAGTAAAAAAAAAAACTTTCATTTTGTACATCTTTGCAAAAATGTAAACATTCTAGTCCTTTAAATTAAAGGTTTCAATGAAGAAATAACACTATAAATTTTTCTGTATGTCATAACTGAAATTGAGTGTTAAGTATATATTATTAGTCCTGCATTTTATTATGATAAGGCCTAAAAAAATTTTTTGTTTGCCCTTTAATGCTGAAAATTGTATAGGGGTGGGGAGGGGGGTGGCAGGCGCAAATTTTTTTTTTCCTCCTATCACTAAAGTTAACACATTAAATCGCAATGCTTGCAATTAAGCCTGTCTCACTATTTGTTTTTCAAAGGGTATTCATCAGACTGAATAAAAATAACCCATAATCAATATTTTGTAATGAATTTAGGCATGGGGATACCTTATATCAGACACAAAATTTACACAACATTCAAGTGCAAAATGTAGAAAAATAAAGATCCCTTTCTTAAATTTGTTGACCAAAAATCTTATATGTATTTTATTGTTAGGTTTGGTTTCCATCTAATTGCTACATAGCGTAGGTGTTATGAACGCAAACGAATGACCAATCAGCATTTCTGAAACCGATCTGGGATAGCCTGTAGCTATTTTATGAAAACCAGCTACACATGCATATTACACATCATGTCCATTTGTGGTTATGCGTTACTTATGTGTTCCCACATTTTCTATGTATTCTCAGAATAAAACACATTCCCTATATGTTTGCTTTGTTAACATATGTTGTTACCTACTTTATGTGTTCTCATCTGTTACAATGTGTTGCCACCTATGTGTTCTCATATGCCACGTATTTATTCCCATATACCACCTATGAGTTCTTATGCCAAATGTGTTCTCATATGTCGCCTATTTCCACATGTGTTCTCATATGCCACCTATGTGTTCCCATATACCACCTATGTGTTCTTATGCCAACTGTGTTCTCATATGTCACCTATTTCAACATGTGTTCTCATATGCCACCTATGTGTTCCCATATACCTCTTATGCCAACTGTGTTCTCATATGTCACCTATTTCAACATGTGTTCTCATATGCCACCTATGTGTTCCCATATACCACCTATGTGTTCTTATGCCAACTGTGTTCTCATATGTCACCTTTTTCAACATGTGTTCTCATATGCCACCTATGTGTTCCCATATACCACCTATGCGTTCTTATGCCAACTGTGTTCTCATATGTCATCTATTTCAACATGTGTTCTCATATGCCACCTATGTGTTCTTATATCAGGGACGTGGGAGCTCCCCCTCCCCCTTTGTACACAGTGTTAAAATTTTAAAGCTTATTCTTGAGCCAATACAAATTCTTTCCTGGGATCACTCAAAATGTATACTTCTAAACATGTAAATATAAGATCTCTATGGTTGTCAAAAATCCCTGATAAAAGATCATGAGACTTTTTTTGGCGCTTCATTTTGACTAATGGTGATGTGGTGATGATGAATTTTACTAAAAGTGTCATTTCTGGCTATCTAGAGGTACTATTTCCTCAAATTTTCTCACCTCAGCTCCAACCATTGTGGGGCTGAGGTGGGTGTCGACTCACAAAAT